GCATCGCATTGATGAAATTCAATTTTCAAATCGAATCAATTTAAATATTATACAATGTCAATTTAGTATTTTCACATCAACAGCTTCAGACTTCACTACACATTCCCGAGACAAAAAGAAAAAAAAAACTTTTTTGTCAGCACACAAGAAAAGAGTGAAAATCATGAAAATGAAAATGAATGTCAGTCACTGGTATTAATGAGAAATAATTGAAATGTTTTATTTTATAGCCAAATAAAAAAGAATTTTGAGATTAATTTGTTTACAAAAAGCTACAAAAAAGTTTTTTGTTTAAAAATCACTTTAGTTTTTAATGAAGACTTACTTTAAAAACACATTGATGTTGGATTGTTCGTTAGAAGTGTATGCTGTGTATAGATTTGGATGTGAAAGCTGTAAATTAGTTAAAATAATCAAATAAGTCAAGAATCTACATACCTCCTCGGGCTCCCCAAAGCACTCACCCTAGTTATAGTTAAAGTTGATTTATTTTGAAAATTATCCTAAAATTTAATACACCGATTCTCAATTTAAATATAGGGTGGTACCTAAAATCAAGCTCCTTGAGTTTGATGGAATGAAACTGGTTGTTATTGGGCCATGCACTTGAATTTACCGCGAAAAAACGACTTTATACTCTCTAATTTGACTGAACTCAGCAAATTGAATCTATCCAAATTCAACAAAAATTAGCTGAATTCATCAAATTAGCTGAATTGACTGAATTAAACAAAATTAGCTGAATTTGCTGAATTCTACAAAATTAGCTGAATAAGTTGATTCAACAAAATTAGCTGAATACGAATCGGAAATCGAACCCTTGACAATTTAATGACATTCATCATCTATCGACGCTTCTTCTCAGAAAACCAAAATTAATATTTCTCAAATAACATCTTGGTAAAGCTGTCCTCAAGCCTATAAAAATGCGTCTACCTCAAATTAGCTTCAAACTCATAGCTCACATTCTCCCCTAAAAAGCCCCCTAATCAAGATATTTTAAGATACATTTTAAATGAAAAGTCATGCCAGTGCGTTGTACTAAAAACGAGTTTTTGTCGAAATCAATTATGTAACAGAATACAAAAAAAGATATTACTGAATTTACAACATCGAAAAAAAGGAAAGGAGCAAGCTTAAGGATGAGAACTGTGAATAAAAGATGAAGATGCTTGCCAAAAATACAAACAATGTATCGACTTTCTGTTGTTGTGAATAAAGATTCTTTCGTATTTTTGTCTTTTCTTGCTGTCTGATGGAAAATTTTGTGCTGCTCTCCAGCTCTCCTTATTTGAGGTACCTTCACATCCAACTGCTTTTGTAAGATGCTATTTATAACAATCATTTGAGAGTGATATCAATTTAAAGATGAAAAGAAGCATTTAAAAGTCGTAAATGGAGAATTTCAGGGGATGGAACAAATATTTGGTAAATTATGTGGGAATGTGGGATGATGTTATAAAATAATATTGAGATATTTTTGGTAAGGTACGAAACAAGATCAAAGAACTTTAAATTAAAGAAGTTTAAATTTTACCGGTTCTTTATGATTCAAAATTTAACGGTTTTTCACGATTTAAACTACAGACTGTTGAAATTTTCAAATCTAAAACGACCGTTTACTTCCAATTCACCCCAACTTGCTATAAAAAATATATTTATCTGTTCTTCATCGATAGGAAATTAAATTTCTACCATTTCGTCTATCTTGTCTCTTTTTCCCTTCAATTCCACTTCCCTTCATCGAGTCACCAAGATAGCATGAAGCACACTCGTGTGATCAACGTCGTAAACATTTTGTAAGAACAATCATTTCGTCATTTACATTTGGTAAAATGACTTTTTATGGCTGTTTTAAATTTCCTCGTTTTATTTTCAATGCCTTTTTGAATCTTCATGATGATGACTATTTTGGCTATGTTGTGCTTCTTGTTTTTGTATTGCACATGTTTGTTTAGCTGAAAATTAGCACCAGGACATGCTATGGAAATGGAAGAAGCTACAAAGGTGTCTTTTTGGGTTCATCTTTTTAAAACAGAAAAATTATTCCAAACTCCCTTCCCCACCCATAAATTAATTGAAAAATTCCTGCAATTTATTGCACATGCATTTAATTAAAATTTATCCATGCGACCCATAAGAACTTCATATAATCCGAAAAAAAATGAACAACAATGCACAAAAAAGAGTTTTTTAATCCCTTTCAATCAACAAAAGCTCATCCAAGCTTTTATTTTAAACAAGCAAATTCCTTTAAAGTCACAAAAACATTTTCTCGGTCTCTTTAACATCACAACGACGATGGAAATGTTGATATGAGGAACCTTGAACCTTCAATATAATACAGCATGGAAATAGCAAAAAATAGAGCTTTATGAAAGCTTTTATGAACAAGGAATGGATGTGGAGAATAAACAAACTTTTTTTTTTCACCCTTCCAAATTCATCTTCATGCAAGCACAGGGAAAAAGCCACTTCATTTCCACCACATCTTTTCCATACTTCCCGTTCCTTTCTTTTTATCAAGTTTTTAACAACCTTCATCATCATTGAATTTCAATTTTGCCTTTCTTACTGTCGACTGAATTTAATTTCATGTCTTCGAGGATTTTTTTACAGCTAACTGGAAGTACACATCATGATGTATTTTAATGTCAAATGAAAAATGAAGACCATTTGTCTTTGTTAATTATTTTAAAGCGATAATTACTCGAGTGATGTAATGTCAGGGGATGGGAATGTGATGGAACTGGATATTTGGGGTGTTTGTGTTGGGGAAGCTCAATTCAAAAAAGCTTAATTTAATACGTTTGGCTCAAAAGAGCTTAACTTTGCTTCACTCGACTCAAAAAAGCTCAATTTTGCTACGCTCGACTCAAAAAAGCTCAATTTTTTTACACTCGACTCAAAAAGCTCATTTTTGCTACACTCGACTCAAAAGAGCTTAACTTTGCTGCACTTGGCTCAAAAGAGCTTAACTTTGCTGCACTTGACTCAAAAAAGCTTAACTTTACTGCATTTGACTCAAAAAGCTCAATTTTGCTACACTCGACTCAAAAGAGCTCAACTTTGCTGCGCTTGACTCAAAAAAGCTCAATTTTGCTACACTCGACTCAAAAGAGCTTAACTTTGCTGCATTTGACTCAAAAAAGCTCAATTTTGCTACACTAGTCCCAAAAAAAGCTCAATTTGATTCAATATCGTCCCATCCTTGACTTAGTTCCCCACAAACTTATCTCACTCACATTCCCATCCATGAACATTCTCGAAATCTATAATTAATTTACAGTCATCTCATCCACCATGACACAAGAATCAGATAATATGTTTTCCCTATAATTACATTCCATCATTTAAGATTCTCTCGTCAAAGCCAAGATCTTGACAATTTTTTATGCTCCACAGAAATGGCAAAAACATGTTTGTCATCTAATGGCAAGACTCATTTTTATGTTGAACATTCATTTTGACTTTAAAAAAATGTTTCAACATGCCACACATACATAGAATATTTAAACAACTGTAAAGTGGGGATGTAGTGTCTTTTAACCCCTTTTATTGTTGCTGTCATTGCAATATGACAAATAAAGTCGTGTTCTTGGTGTGGATGATGAATAGAGGAAAAATGTTCAAAAAAAAATGATGGAAAATTAAAAATAATTGTGAAAAAATTTTTGCAAAGTCTAAAATTTTCGAGATTAGAACTCGCTTCTTTTGCATTAGTTCTTCGATTTACAAAAGTTTACAATTTCAGATAAATTCATTAATTGACAATTATGGGATTTGAACCTCACAAAAGCGATCAATTTTAAAAATCAACTCACAACAAATCACATTAAATTAATAGCAAATAAACAGAACAACTATCCCATCAATAAACACAATAAGCATCATAAAAAAGACATCCACACATGTCCACAAAAAAAGGACAAAATGAATCAACAAAACAAAAAATCTAAAAGACTCAATAAAAAATTAATGAAATCCATTAAAATGAGAATGAAAGCATCAACAGCAGCATAGACATCCGTATTATGTTATTTATTGTCTAAATGAACAAGATTGAAAAGTTGATGAAAATAAATCGAGATATATTTACAATCGAGCTAACCACATGATGGCACATGACACATTTTTCTTCTTTATTATTTTAAAATTAAAGAATTGTGAGACGACGAGAGGATATAAAGTGGATGTAAAACTAGTCTACTGAACCCATTTGATTCTTTTAATATAGCAACACATTTTTTATTTCTATTCGAAATAAAAGAATGAAAATTGATTTTTACTTCTTTTTTATTTTGTTCATCAAACTTGTTATAAAAATAGAAATCTTTTTATTTTGTTTACAGACTATTATTGTAATCATTAAGGCACAATTGGAAGTGAATAAAAGTATTGAAATATTTGTGGTAAAAAAAAACTTTTTAAAAAACTACGTTTTTCGCGTAGACTAAAAAGTAGAAAATAACTTTTATTCTTGGTTGTAAAGAATTTGGTTTTAAATTTTCAGATTATATTTAATAAATTTTTATATCCTAGTCAATATTGTTCACAAAGTTTCGAATAAGTGCACTTTGATCTTATCGTATAACTCAACAACTTAAAAACGTGGGCGCATTAATTTAAGTTTATCATAAAGTATTGATTTCACATAAACTTATTTCTCCTCTTATAATGCGCCCACGTTTTTAAGTTGTTGAGTTATACGATAAGATCAAAGTGCACTTATTCGAAACTTTGTGAACAATATTGACTAGGATATAAAAATTTATTAAATATAATCTGAAAATTTAAAACCAAATTCTTTACAACCAAGAATAAAAGTTATTTTCTACTTTTTAGTCTACGCGAAAAACGTAGTTTTTTAAAAAGTTTTTTTTTATAAAGTATTTTATTTTCTACTTTTTAGTCTTATTCTAATGAAATAGAGAAATAAAGATTATAGGGGGTTTATAGGTTACAGGTGTGTTGAACTCCACTTCGTTGCACTTCGTTACGTTCAACTGTTTATAGATCACAGTAGGTTTATAGGTTACAGGTGTGTTGAACTTCACTTCGTTGCACTTCGTTACGTTCAACTGTTTATAGATTACAGTAGGTTTATAGGTTATAGGTGTGTTGAACTTCACTTCGTTGCACTTCGTTACGCTCAACTGTTTATAGATCACATTAGGTTTATAGGTTACAGGTGTGTTGAACTTCACTTCGTTGCACTTCGTTACGTTCAACTGTTTATAGATTACATTAGGTTTATAGGTTACAGGTGTGTTGAACTTCACTTCGCTGCACTTCGTTACGTTCAACTGTTTATAGATTACAGTAGGTTTATAGGTTACAGGTGTGTTGAACTTCACTTCGTTGCACTTCGTTACGTTCAACTGTTTATAGATTACATTAGGTTTATAGGTTACAGGTGTGTTGAACTTCACTTCGCTGCACTTCGTTACGTTCAACTGTTTATAGATTACAGTAGGTTTATAGGTTACAGGTGTGTTGAACTTCACTTCGTTGCACTTCGTTACGTTCAACTGTTTATAGATTACATTAGGTTTATAGGTTACAGGTGTGTTGAACTTCACTTCGCTGCACTTCGTTACGTTCAACTGTTTATAGATTACAGTAGGTTTATAGGTTACAGGTGTGTTGAACTTCACTTCGTTGCACTTCGTTACGTTCAACTGTTTATAGATCACAGTAGGTTTATAGGTTACAGGTGTGTTGAACTTCACTTCGTTGCACTTCGTTACGTTCAACTGTTTATAGATTACAGTAGGTTCATAGGTTACAGGTGTGTTGAACTCCACTTCGTTACGTTCAACTATTTATAGATTAGAGTAGGTTTATAGGTTACAGGTGTGTTGAACTTCACTTCGTTGCACTTCGTTACGTTCAACTGTTTATAGATCACAGTAGGTTTATAGGTTACAGGTGTGTTGAACTTCACTTCGTTGCACTTCGTTACGTTCAACTGTTTATAGATTACATTAGGTTTATAGGTTACAGGTGTGTTGAACTTCACTTCGTTGCACTTCGTTACGTTCAACAGTTTATAGATTACAGTAGGTTTATAGGTTACAGGTGTGTTGAACTTCACTTCGTTGCACTTCGTTACGTTCAACTGTTTATAGATCACAGTAGGTTTATAGGTTACAGGTGTGTTGAACTTCACTTCGTTGCACTTCGTTACGTTCAACTGTTTATAGATTACAGTAGGTTCATAGGTTACAGGTGTGTTGAACTCCACTTCGTTACGTTCAACTGTTTATAGATTACAGTAGGTTTATAGGTTACAGGTGTGTTGAACTTCACTTCGTTGCACTTCGTTACGTTCAACTGTTTATAGATTACAGTAGGTTTATAGATTACAGGTGTGTTGAACTCCACTTCTTTGCACTTCATTACGTTCAACTGTTTATAGATTAGAGTAGGTTTATAGGTTACAGGTGTGTTGAACTTCACTTCGTTGCACTTCGTTACGTTCAACTGTTTATAGATTACAGTAGGTTCATAGGTTACAGGTGTGTTGAACTCCACTTCTTTGCACTTCATTACGTTCAACTGTTTATAGATTAGAGTAGGTTTATAGGTTACAGGTGTGTTGAACTTCACTTCGTTGCACTTCGTTACGTTCAACTGTTTATAGATCACAGTAGGTTTATAGGTTACAGGTGTGTTGAACTTCACTTCGTTGCACTTCGTTACGTTCAACTGTTTATAGATTACATTAGGTTTATAGGTTACAGGTGTGTTGAACTTCACTTCGTTGCACTTCGTTACGTTCAACTGTTTATAGATTACAGTAGGTTTATAGGTTACAGGTGTGTTGAACTTCACTTCGTTGCGTTCAACTGTTTATAAATTACCAGTTTTCAATGGGAAATTAGTAACGACTTTCAAAATTTTTCATTCGTTTTATAAAATTTAATTTTTTTAAAGCATTCATTAGTAAAGTACATTAAAAATCACTCGTAAAGATTTTGTGTTTATCTGTACCATTTCTACTTCATAACGTGTGGATTCTTAACATAAAGATGCAAATCACATATGTAACGTATTTATAACGGATTTTCAAATTTAAATTCAATGAATATCATTTATATGTTATGCAAAAATACGTCAAACCGTTAATAAAAAGAAAAGTCAATTTAATTAAGTTGGTGAAGTGTTATAAATAATGCAATACATTTAAAACAGCATAAATTTATGCTCAAACTATGTGTGCTAAATGCACATCGTATATTAATAGTTATTTTGCATTAATTCGTAACGGACTTGTGCTTAACGGTTTTTTTGAAAATTCAAATTTTCACTTACGAATATTCATGAAAAAATTACATGTCAATTTTTTTGTCTTACCAGAATATCTTTATCTGCTCAAATTTATGGTATAATTAATAATTAGTAATATTAATTAAACTATAATGAATCATATAAATGACTTTAGAGCATCACAAGTATAATATTTAATACAAATCAAAATTTTTTATCATTGACATTGGATTTTTTCCCATATAAAAAAGTTTTACATAAATTGTACTATAATTAAGCATTTTTGTGTTTCCAAAGTGTTAAAATATTGTATTGTCACCGGGAATACATGTGCATTAAAAATTTGAGCTCGATTGGAGCAGTAGAAGTGGTCGAAAAATTGATCGCAAGATTTGAAATTTTTTGCAAACAAACAAACAAACAAACAAACAAACAAACAAACAAGAAAGCAAGTTAAGAAAAACGTAGTAAAAAGAATTGGAAAATAATTAAATGAAATAGATTTTAGAATTTGAACCTTGAATTTTATACAAACTTTCCGTTTTTGAATTTGTTTATATTTTTATTAAGTATAATTCAGTGATAATTACCAGAGATCGAAGCCGATTTTTTCGGCTTAACTCAATTTTTGATTTTTTTGATAGAAAAAAGCCATTTGAACTTTACATGCTTTACTATGATTCTGTGTAATATTTTGTCAGCATGTAGCTAAAGGAAGCTCAGAATTTCAAATTAGCCGATTTTAAGCCGATCGGCTTAAATTTCGGCTTAACATCCTCAAAATTGAAATTCTGAGCTCACTATAGCTACATGCTGACAAAATATTACACAGAATCATAGTAAAGCATGTAAAGTTCAATTTAAATACTTAAAATGGGTGTCAAATGGCTTTTTTCTATCAAAAAAATCAAAAATTGAGTTAAGCCGAAAAAATCGGCTTCGATCTCTGATAATTACTTGTTAAAGTTTTATAACATTAAATTTTATCAAAAAAATTGAGTTTGAATTTTTTATTGAAAAATTTGAAAAACCTGCTTTCAAAAAATTTAAAAAAAAATATCTTTAAAACTTCCAAATTACGTCCAGGGGGGAGGGGGGGGTGGCCACCGGTGGTTTAGCAAGAAAAAAACAATAAAAATTCCAGGAAATAAATTGTTATTTTTTGAAAAATGATCATTAATCATTAGTTTCAGACGTCATAAGTGAACGACCGCTAATCATTAAAATTGAAAAAGAAAATTAAAATTTTCAAAAAATTAGGTTGTTAATAGTTTTAAATCCGTAAGAAAATTTAAAAAAAAATAGAATCGAACCTTAAACCGATTTGGTAATGCAGCGCTTATTTAAAAAATTTAATCTCAATTTTAATTATATTCAAAAGCAAAATCTTATATAAAATATTATCAACCAAAACTGCTACAATAAGCAGCTCTCAATTTTTTTTCTAAAAACAATAGCAAAAAAAAGAATGAATTTTTTTATTATTATCCTTAGCAATACACAAAAGAGGAAGTAGTAGCTAAAATGTAAAGAAATTTCCACATTCCGTTCTTTAGAAATCGTTGAACTTTGCACCATTGTTCCAGCACGAATGACTCATATTGAAGAATTCCTTCGGAACTGTATTAACAGAACGTAACGACGCGAGTGCAGCTTCAAAACCAACTGAAACACAAATTGCTTCCGATTTTCGCTTCAACATTGCGGTTATAAATCCAGCACTAAATGCATCTCCAGCACCCGATGAACTTTTAACATTATTTTCAATTGTTGCTGGATAATGACGAAGTTTATGATCCTTTTTAGTTCCACGTTGAATATATTGAAGATCATTCGTGAAGAATTTATCATCGGAAGTGCCAAATCGTTTAATAAATATTCCATGACTTCCCGCCGTCACCATAATGTTGTCGATGTCATTATGAAGCTTATCACATAGTTCAGCAATCTCATCAGAAAATTTGTCAATTTTCAAGTCATTGTCATGTGCCCAAAATGGCGTCGATGCTTCTGTTGATGGCTTTAATGTTTGAACAATTTTTCTCAATTCATAAATGTTTGGTGTCATGAATTTTATTTGACGATATTGCTGCGGATCCAATTCAAAAGGCTTGCCAGCTATTAACATATCCGTTGGCTCATAAAAAACTGTCAATATAAATAATAGAAATGGATGTATTGTTATTAGGATTATTTGTGTATGTTCTGGGTATGTTTTGATGAGTCATAGCAGCGATAGTTGATGTCGCAGCAGATATTTGCAAAACAATAATGAATATAATACGTAAGGATGATGATAATGATAATGGGAAGTAGAAAATAATGAATTGCACATAAGAGGAATTGAATGGTATGAGATGGATGAAACAAATGGAAGATTAAGTATGTATGGGGTTGTAGAAGCTTGGTTTTTAGGTTAGAGCCCACTTTTTGAGGTTATATACATGATAATAAGGCTTAGGACCATCATAAAGACTATTGGGTACAGTTTTAAAATGTTTGTTCTTAATAAGTACATGAATGCTATCCTTAGACTAAGATAGATATTTTTGGAGTGTACAAGTTTGTCCCTATGGCTGCGCAGATAGAAAAACACTCGATTGAAGCCTAGGAAGCTACCCTTTGACAAAATAGATAGGCTTACCTAAACTAAGGTATGAAATAAGACTTTAAATTTTAAAAGACTTGAACAAATGCCCTGCAGCAGTTCTAGACCTACTCAGAATAAAATGACATAATCATACTCTAATCCAGGCGTAACAAGTAAAAATATCAAGGATTCTGAGAGGTTCCATGTTTCCATTTAATATCTAGCTCCACTGATCGTTTAATCTGTCTTAAAACCTTTTTTTTTCTCGTACCAATCTACGCCATGAATGTGCTACTGATCAAGTTGTTTCCCATCATTATTTTTGATAATTTTTGATCAGTTTCACACCCTTAATCCACGCTCCTACCCATATTACCAAATAAAACATCAATGTAATGAATATTTACAAGATATAGGACGTTAAAATGTTATTGAAAGCATATCTGCGGTTTACTGACCTGGTTTATTATATCGACCTGCCAATAGCAATATCGCATCAATTGTTTCATGTGAAAGATTTGCATCAATACAAATCAACGGTGCATGTTTAATCAAATCCACATTGGCATATATCTGTAATGACATTGAAAGTATTGATATTGCATGTAAGGAATGAATTGAGCAGGTTTTTGTGATGGGATGGCATTTTTTTTGGATGGAATGTTGAGTAAGTTCTGTGGTTTATGGTTTAGATGGATGAGTCAGGTGTTGGGAAATTCTAAGAAAGCTCTGTTTGGACTAGCATCTATAGAACAGCCAATCTGGTCTTCCTTTTGATCATCCCATCCACAAAAACCAGCTCAAATTCAGCAAAATGTGAATAATTTCATAATAACATACCAATTCAGGTGTTATTTCACGATGAATATCCATATCACCCACATATATTTTACAATCGCGAAGCTTATCTAATATAACAGCACAGCTAGCAGTTGCAAATGTCGATGATACCTGACACGATTGCGTTGCTTCACTCGGTAATGTTTTACGTAAAACTTCACCATTCTGGTCGTCACCGAAAGCAGATATTAGCGATACAGAGCCATTTAATTTGTATAAACCCTCAGCAATATTTCTTGCTACACCACCGGGGGAAAATGTCGTTTTAGCTTTGTATGTTGCACCATTCAGCTGGAAATAGAGAAAGAAATAGAAGAGATATGTAAATTTTGAAATATAAATTACTATGTCGCGTTGAAAGAAATGTATTAACGGAAACTAAGCAGTATTTATTGCTTGCGGTCGACTATGAATTCCTTTATGTGTCAAAATAAGGAGCTTTGAGGATTAATAGAGGTTATAGAGTTCGAAATATTTATTTTGAGAATTTTATGGGTTAGGACCAGCTTCAGGAGTAGGGTTCTACTACGTCAGTGGTGAACAACCTTTTTTGAGCCACGGCACACGTTGATGGTAAGCCGTAACGTACGCACATAAATGTACACAGCACACGGTTTGTGCGATTTCCCAATTTTTTTCTCGGAAAACCAGTGTGCCACGGCACGCGGGTTGGTCAACACTGTTCCTAGTATAAGACCTAGTTTTAGGTTAGACAACATGTTTTTAGCATTACTTTGAACCAACTAGAGGTCCTCCTTGACAAACTTTTGGACATAGTTTGCAGTACTAGCAAAGACATACACCAAAGAACCAACCTGAATGCTTCAATTGACTCTTATAACCCCGAAAACACCCAATTCACTCAACATCCATAGACTCATAACCCCTAATCTCCAGAAATAGATTTTCCTCCGTTTGCTTTCACTTCCGGTTTCATTTGTCTACATCCAGACGCCCCATACATGCCAAAAGATGTATGAAAGGTACGTAAAAACTATTGTTTGAAAGTGCAATGGCCGTAAGCTACCGGTTATAGTTTAAAATAAAAATTTACAAGCATCGAAACAAATAAAATAGCTTGTAGAGGAAATGACACAAAAAAAAGCATATTACATGCTAAATACTAGTATTGCTTAATGCCTCCTGCAAATTCTATCGTTGTTGTTTAAAATAACAAAACAAAAATGCTGAATAGAACAAAATAAAAGGCACAATGAATATTTTATTTGGGACGAAACGGAAGCAAAAGAGTTTGAAAACAAAACAATACACATATTGGGTAAATAAAGGAATAGAAAAAAAAGGTCGAGGAAATGAAAGTCGTTTGTAAAAAACAGTTTTGCATTTTAAATTAATGAGGTTCATCTGAGATAATTTACAGGTCAAATTTAGAAGAAAGAAGTGCGTGCAAAAATATATTTTTTTTGGATCGATAATCTTATATCCTAGTGTCTTAGCCGAGAGATATCAGGGATATCATACATACATACATACATACATTGCTGGCTTTACAGATCAATTGTGAGCCATAGCCTCCTTTAGTTGTGGCTGAAAAAGGCTCTATCGTTGGCTATCGCTAATACCAAATGCCCTGCTATCTCTATCTTGGGATCTGTTTGTATCGAGAATATTGAGTCATATAAATACGAATCTGCTAGTATAAGAGTAAAGCCTCATTGATTAAAATAGTTCAACAACAAAATGTAGACTTCTTTTGTGAAGACCTAGGTTCGATTCTCATGTTGTCCATATAACAAGGATTTGAACACTGTTCATGATATTGATAAATTAATTGAGTAACAGTTTAGGAGGACTATAACGGGTACTATTGAGTATAGCTTCAATGTATAGGCACCTAATGTCAGTAAGGTAAGGTCATCAACAAATAAGAATGAGCTTATTTTCCTTAGAATTTTTGAAATGATCGCTTTAGTGAGACTTTTTGGAATCATTATTGCAGTTTTGTACGAAAGAATTTCAAATTCAGCAATAAAATTACAAGCTATAATTTATTTTTAACTTTACGATTCTCAGAAAGTCGGCTTAAAACTTTTCTGTGAATATTAATGCATTTAAAAAAATAACTCATTACAATAAAATAAATTAATTTGTCATTTTCAAACCCACAAATTCAATTTAAGCATTTCAATGTTCAGTCATACATAGGCTGTCTATCGGTTTATGCCGATTTTTAATCATAAATTGGGATATGTCCCGATTTCAGCTGTGAAAAATCGGGACAGGTTAAATTTTTAAACATTTTCCTAGAAAAATAGGTTCAAGCGGGACATTAAGGATATTAGGCAGGACATTGTTGAAAAAAGTGGAACTGTCCCACTCAAAAGTGTGCTGTTGGACAGCCTAGTCATAAATAGCAGTTACAAAATGCATTAGAGGTTACGAGATTTTGTTTATAAACTGACACAAAACTTTCATAAACAGTCAATCTTATTTAAAGTTTTGAGTTAAATAGACGTGCGAATTGAATAATCAGTTACAATGAAAATTGTTTTCTTCTTAATTTCATTGTTTGTGTTGATAGCAGTCATGAATTGTGATGATCCGTAAGTTTTAGATTGCAAACATCGTTGGATGATCAATTGTCAATTGTGACAGATCAATTGTGATCGAAAGCCTCCCTTAGATGGCGTCTGAAAAAGATTCTGTCGCTGGCTACTTTCTGCCAATCGCCAATACCAAATGCTATGATATCGCTGTCAACAGCTTCCTTACAGAAAGTTTAAGATTGTATAATAACATATTTTTAGAGTAGACCCCCTCCTCTCCAGTAGTAAGGTTCTGCATTGGTTAAAAAAGTTACCAAAAAATGACGTAACAGCTTAAAAAAAATAAAAATCATATAAAAGTTGAGAAGAGGGTAAGCAGAGGGGGAGGAGGATAGTTTTATGATATTCACACTTATAGTAGTATGTTGTAGCTCATAAATAATTAATTTCGCTGAGTTTAGTCACTCCCAGAAGTTACATTAAATCTTATAATTTATTTTAAATGTAGCCAAGTAATCTGCAAGCTAGAGGAAAAAACTGGAACTTGCCGTGCAGACAAGCCAAGATGGTACTATGATGCATCGTCAAAATCATGTCGCTTGTTCACTTATGGAGGGTAAGCTTACCTTAATATTAACATATCTATTCTCAATTTCTGTAATTCTTGACAATTACTAAATAAATTTCAATTCAACAGATGCAATGGCAATGCCAATAACTTTCATACTGAGGCAGACTGTATGGCAAAATGTAACGGAGTTTGAAGTAATAATTTAAAAGCTTATAATGACTGTTTACTTAATGATTATGATGTGAATTTAATAAAAAAGAATTACATTAAAAAACTGTGCGTTTATTTTTCATCTGAGCATCAACCTCGGGATTTCCCGCAAAAAATTTAAAGTCAGGTATAATCATTTATTGTATCAGAATAAGGTAGTTTGTTAAAAAATTGTAGAAAACAATAATTTGGGGTCCAAAACCCCTTGACTAAGCACCTAATTTAAATTACATATTTTACAAACAATTTAAAATTTAATATCATGAAATAATGGATTAGTCTCAGGTCTGTTATTTTTTCAAATAATTATAATTTACAAACATTTGTTTTAAATGTGTTATCAGCACGTGATGTGACTTTGCCACATTAAGTATTGTCAGCAATCAGCTTTAAATGTTGATTTTTAAATTAACTAATATTATTTTAAATAATTCTCTCTAATTTTGTTTACTCAACGGAAGCATATCAGTTGATTTTAGAACTTCAAAGTGTTTGGAAGTACTGAAAGCAAAATGAAACTTTTATTTGCGATTTTTTCAATTTTCTTTTTCATTGTCATGATTAATGGACAAGCTCCGTAAGTAAAAATTGTAAATTAAGTTGCCAAATAAAGCTTTAACGAATATTTTCAATAATCTTAGTGACTGCACATCACCAGCCGTAACTGGTCGATGCTTCGCTTATTTCCCATCATGGTACTATGATCCAGCAGCTAAAGCTTGCAAAGAATTTGTTTATGGAGGGTAAGTTGATTAAGAAATGTGCTGAGGAGAAGAGTTTAATAGACAGCAATGGAATGGAACTGATCAAGAGTGATTAAGATTGATCAAAACATGATTGATCAGTTCTGTACCTTTGGTAAACAATCATCTTCGAAGTTTCGCACGTGCTCTCCAATAACTTACTTACTAATTTTTTCTACAGATGTGGAGGCAATGGAAACAGATTCGAAACCAAGGCTGAATGTCTTGAAAAATGTGCGCAATAATAAAAAATAATTCAAATTGTCAACTTTTTGTTTCATCTTAAATTAGAAATTCTTTAATTTCAGGCATTTTAAAATTATTGTCTTTAGCTGTAAAGTCTCATTTATGAACAAATTTCTTGCAACATTGAAGCTTTTGCTGCGATAACCAAAGGTCAAGGCTGATCCAGATTTTAATTTTGAAATATTTTTCTCATCTAATTGTCAAAGTAACTTCAAGCTACACCACTTTGTTCTATGGAACGTACGATTTATGTCAATTTTAAAAAAAACTAGATCTTCAGCTTGTGCTGAGTAAATGTTGGATTTCCCGTAATACACGTTGCAAATATTGTAAATCTTTTTGAACTTGTTTACTCTATATCAGTGGTGTCCAACCTTTTGTTGTGCCACGGCACACCAAAAGTAAGCCATCGCAAAAACCGCACGGTTTGTTGGATATCCCAATTTTTTTCACGGCACAATATTGTGCCGCGGTGCAAGAGTTATCCATCACTGATCCATTTTGTACACAAGTGATCATTTGCTGATGATGTTCAAGAAGAAGAACTAGATCAAGAGCTGTAAACAATATTCTGTATAAATGATATATCAACCCCCTCCCCGTCCCCTCTTCAAAATTACATTTTTATAAAATTATCATATAACCTCAAACTTCAAATGATCACATTATGATGTATAATAACCCCAAACATTCTCATTAAATATGCAAATAACCTGTAAGGAATTCCCTACTTTTGTAATTCACGTTATTATAAAAACCAGATTAATTCAATAAGAACTACCAGTCTGCTTTGTAACTTCAAAACCTAAAGACATAAAATGAAGCTTCTTTTCTTGACTTTTGCATTACTTGTTTTTGCTGCATCGACACAAGGTCATAGACCGTAAGATTATTCATTCTTAATATTGATGTTATTAAGCAATAACTCGGCATTATTATTATGATTATTTAGTGACTGCAGCTCACCACCAGTAACTGGTAATTGTGAAGCATTGCAATTTGCTTGGAACTACAATCGAGCAAGAAAGACTTGTGAACAGTTCAACTATGGCGGGTAAGTGTCGTGTGACGTTAGAGCTTCCATTTGAGCACCTAATGTGCCGCAAACCAATAAAGTTTGAGAACTGGCTTAATGAAAATTGATTATTAAAATATCTATTCTTTTAAAACCATGAATTTGCAGATGTGGAGGCAATGGCAACAGATATGATTCGTGGCAAGAGTGCATGTTTAATTGTGCTGGCAAATAATGCAATATTTGCTGTCATTTTGTCCTTATTTCAGTCAATAAAGTGATTTCGAATTAAACTGCATTGAATATTTAATTATATTTTTTCGTTTTGTTTAAGAAATTTTCAGTATTAATTGATCTTCAAATTGCTTTGAAGTTGCTACTTAGTCTGGCTGTAATTCAAGTGTCAATGATGTTGAAGTTAACAAAGATTTGATATCAAAGAATGAAAAACAAACCTTTGAATATTCAGATCCAGAGGTGCGCTAGGACAATTCGCTAATGGTATTTAAACAAGTGTGGATGCTCCAAACCACTAAACTAGCCCTATACAGTTAAAATTGGGATCCGAACCACTCTTTTTGATTCGAAAAAGGACAAGTGAAAAGTTTCCTATACCAAGTCTCGAACTCATGACAAATGTGTCGGTTTAGCAATAATCAGGTACCGAAGTACTTAGCCATTCCACCACCGAGCCACTTCAGCTCATACGTAGAATGTAGAAAACAATGGATAATATACAAAAAGGGAATTCTTCATCATTAAAAACAATTAACACTTAGATAATTTGAATAAATACATTTAAATTGCAAATAATTGATACTTTAAGTTGTCACCATTGACGACCATTCAGCAATCACACTTGACTGTTTAAAAATATGTTGTGTCAGCTTATGAAACAGTTTATGACTTTACTTCAAAATATAAAGACTCAAAACAGATTGAAAATGAAATCAATCCTTTTCGTCATTTTACTAGTCATCGGCTCATCTTATGCTGGTTATTCTCATCTAGAAATATCATATTAACCAACGAAGTTAACTACTAATGCATGTAAAATTGCAAAAGACATTCTTACTACAGAATCAAGCAAGTCTAACATATTAATTGGAAATTTGGTTGGAAAAAATCAATCTTTTATTGTTGATGATTTTGCTCGATGTATTGAAGATGACAATCCAGTAATTATCACAGACTTTAAGGCAAAACTTAAGAAAATTAGATTAAAACAAGATTCGGTTATTATTCTGATGACTGAGAATTTGAAAGTGGTTAGTATTAGGTTTAAAATAGCTGTGTTTTAAATACTTAATGAGCTATGTTCACTTTTTCAATTTAATAAGATTCATTTGAGTTCCGTTAACAGTTATTTTATTAGATACAACTTAGTTCTATAGTTCCTTTAGAACCTTCTGTTAATGAACATTCATAATATATTTAAAAATTCCAGAAAGCTATCAAATCGATAATTTTAAAGAAACGATACTCAACAATTTGGAATAATAAGGTTAAAATTCTCCTCGTTTCAACTACTTCAATGGGCTCCAAAGCCAAGCTTCGAATGCTTGAAGTTTTTTCATCGCATGGCTTAATCGATGTGGCAATTTTGACTGAGATCAACAGCAAAATTAAATACTCAGCTCTACAAATAGTTAATGGAAGTCTGACAACTTTAACTAATGTCAAAAATGGCAACAACCTCTTTCCAGATAAGCTGAAGAATCTCATGGGATATAAATACAGAATTGTTGTCTACAATCAACTTCCTCGACTTATGATGAAAGATGGCAATGTTCAATCATCAATGACTTACTTTATGGACGCTGTTGCTGCTAAACAAAATGCTACGATCCAATACATACAAATTGAAAATCACAAGGATTTTTCGGAATACTGGGAGGATCGAGAAATGGATTTAACACTCAATACAGGTGTAACCTTTGTAAATACCGGTAGTTTTCCTAAACTTCTTACATATGAGGAAACAGGCTATTGCGCCTTAGTTCCACTACCATCAAAAGTATCTCTGTCTGAGATGATTTACATTAAGCCATTCGATATTTTCATTTGGTGTCTTTTGATTCTCTCGATTGCGCTTTCTGCTTGTATTTTTAAGGTATTTCGCAGTCGAGGTGCTGTCGATTCTCACTGGCTTCTTGTTTATGGTATTTTTGTCATGTTTATTGGTCAAGGTATGCAATTCAGTCGTAATAATCGAATGGTTCTATCCATTCTCCTTCAAATCATCATTTTTGTGATTTTTGTGCTAAGCAGCTTGTACGAAGGAGAAATCACTTCCTTCATGATTCAACCAATTCAAAGAAATCGATTAAGCCGATTTGATCAGATTCCATTTAGCGAATATGAGATCTTAACAGATGCAACGTTCGGTTACTTAATGAAAGATTCCGAAGAATTTATGGCTATGAAAAGTCGGATAAATACATCAATTCATCGTTTGGAAAAAGGATATGGAACTGAAATTCTTCGACAGCATTTTATCTTTTTATTTAGATGCGATAAAGCTGAATGGGATATCGGACGCAGCCTCAGAGCCGGTGGAACTGTCTCGGACTATTATTATTTGCTTCCGGACAGAATTTTCAATCATTTTGTGAGGCTTGAGGCAAGTTTCTTGAATCCATTCATTCATAAGCTACAAAATATTATGGATTTAGCATTTGAAGCTGGATTGCCTCAGAATTGGAAGATCTTTGGTTTAATGGGCAAAATAAGACATTCAAAACATTCATCAACAGACAATCCGACATATTTGGAACTTGAAGATTTAATGCAAGTTTTTTACATCATAATTGTTGGCCTTGCAATCTCAACTTTTGTCCTGCTTGTTGAAATTTTCTTTCACAGCTTCTTAAGGAACTTGCACTTTGCATATCTCGGAAGAAGATTAAGGAGCGCTATTGTAAGAATGGGAACTAACAAGAAGAAACCAAAACGATCAGAACATGGAGCTCTTTACTATATTCTGCATCAGCACAAGAAGATCAAACGATTGAGGAAGTTGAAAGTTAGGAAAATTTTCGTACAGAGTCGGAGCATTGACTTATAAGTTTTTATTTATTTTTCCCATCATGTTGTGTTCCCCTTGATTGCATCACACTTGACTTAAATTAGCAAATTTTTCTAAATGTTTAAAAATGTTAATAAAGATGATTTACGTGTCACACTTGGAACATCAACTTGCTTAACTGAAGCTGGCCTTCGATTTCATTTTTTAAACAATAATAGAAAGTTAAACGAGGCATTAAGTCAGGTAAGAATGCTCAATTGCACAAAGTCAACTTCAAAATAAACAAATAAGTTTCTGCCTTCACCGGTGAGTTACAATTGCATCACAGATCACTAGAGTCATATTCATAATTAATACTGATTATTCATAGTCAGTCTTATTCGATATTTTGAGTTAAACAGACGTTCAAGCTATCAATTAAAATGAAATTTGTTTTCTTCTTAATCTCATTATTTGTGTTGATAACAGTCATCAGCTGTGATGAAAATGATGATCCGTAAGTTCATGTGATTGTTGTTGTAGCTTTAAACATGGAATGCTAACATTTTGATTTATTTATAGCCAATATGTCTGCAATTTAGAAAAAGAAACTGGAATTTGTCGCGCTAATCAACCAAAGTGGTATTATGATGCATCAGCAAAGTCATGTCATTTATTCACTTATGGAGGGTAGGTTTGCTTGATTTTTCATTATTCTTATTTTCTTACTTATTTCTCCTCCTAATCAACAGATGCAGAGGAAATGCCAATAACTTCAACACTGAAGCAGATTGTAAAGCGAAATGCAATGGCGTTTAATGGACCTTAATGGGTTAGACAACCTTGAATGCTTCTAGGGCAACCTAGTCCTAGGGTTAGCCATAGCTTCTAGGGTAGCTTAAAAATGTTTTTTGAACCAAAATGTTCTTAAAGCTATCTGTGCTCTTCTTTGTGCTTAAAAGTTTTGTGATTAAATAAATAAAAAATTATGATTTGAAGTTTAAAATGTTAAATTAAAAAAAAATTATTATTGTGATTGCCCTCCACCTGCCTAAAATAATCAAATTTCAATTTTGCATTTTAAAGCAAGGACAATTTCATGCAAGGGGTGGAAATTTAGATCTGCCCCCAGGTGACAAGCCCCTTGCTATGCTTTTGCGAGTGTAGAATTTTGTACCTTTGCTAATCAACTTTGATAGTGGCATTTGCTGAAAGTGATTAGTTTGATTCAAGACTTGAACGTGTTTAGACGTTTTTTAAACTATGAAGCTGTTGTTCTTAATTTTTGCACTTTTTGGTGTTATCATGATGACAAGTGGCCAGTAAGTTGAAATTAAAACCGTTCGCTTGCTTACAAAAACAACGAAAAAACGAAGGTCGTTTTTTCACGTTACGTAATAAGCGATTGGTCCCATTTTTATATTTTTTAAAAACTAATTTTACTATTATTTCAACAGAGATTGCCACTCATCACCAGACCCAGGTCCCTGTGATGCTCACTTCATTCGTTATACCTACAATCCATCGTCAAAATCATGCAGTCAATTTATCTATGGAGGGTAAGTTCGGACATGATCTTTTGAAATTTTAATAGAATGCATTCAAAAATATTCTGGCAATGGTCTGGTTTGGAGTTGGTTTTGAAATTAAATCCAGCTTTAAGCTGACATTAACGCTTATTGTGCAATACGGGTCTAGCCGAGGGGAAGACAACATTATAAGAAAAAAATTCGATGGAAAATTTTGTATTTTTTCCCATAATGTTGTCTTTCGTTCCCGTTCGAAAGAATAATAATGAAATAAAATTTATGAGCCCCTGCCCACTATAAAAAAATTCTTATCAAAAACAAAAATTATTTTGCTTTCAGATGTGCAGGCAACAGCAACAATTTCCATACAAACACTCAATGTATGTCAAGTTGTGGTGGACATTAAAAGATCAAAAAATATTTCAAAACTTAATTGACTCCAACAAATAAATCAAATTTGATTCTCAATTAAAAAAAATCTGACAATTTGTTTTATTTTTATTTTTTGAAAAGAACTTAATAAAATTTCTCAAAAATTCTCTTTACTAATCTCTCAGTTGAATTAAATCATATAATTTGGTTGCAATTATTTATGATTTTAATAAAGTCACGATGTCTAGAAATTCAGGGGCGTATTCAGGGGAGAGAAAGTTCCTGTAATTTTAGAATTCTTTATTATTTTCTGAGAAAGAATCCTCGTGCGTACAAAAATGAATTGAACCCCCGAAAAAAATTTCGAATACGCCACTGCTACAAATTATCAAAAATATAAAATGTCAGAAATTTCATAGACATCAAAATAAAATGAAGCTTATAATTTTGTTCCTACAAATATTTGTTTTAATTTCAATCGCAAACAGTCAGGATACGTAAGAATTGAATAAATAGAAATGACTATCGACTATGTTTTGATATGCATATAATTTTAGAGACTGTAAATCACCCCCAGAACCTGGTGTATGCATGGCAAATTTTCAATCCTGGTATTACAATCCAGAAACTAAAACTTGTGAGGAATTTGTTTATGGCGGGTAAATGCGATTCAATTGAGTCATTTTTTTAAACTTTACTCTAATTTCAGTAGAGTCAAAAAAATTCAATTTTTAAAATTTCATCCTTTACAGTTGCGGTGGTAATCAAAACAGATACGACGGGAAAGGCGAATGTCTCATAAAATGTGCTGAAGGTGTCTTGAAGAGCTCATTAGGTTATGTTTTGAATATGTTCGAATGATTCATTCACGATTCTTGTCTTCAGAAACTAAGCTTTGAATAAAAGCAAGGAACGCTGAATAATATGAAAGAAAACAATATTTTGTGAATTTTTCAAGGTTCCGAAATTCAAATAAAAATTGCCAATTTACTTTAAATTCATAGATTGTCATTAATAGTCCCACGTACTGAATATTCTATCAAAAATGAATTTTCGAAGATTATAAAGTTCAATTCTGAAGAATTTCACATAATCATTAATAAAGTTCTAATCTACGTCAATTAAACTGGATTCATCAAGCCTCAAAATTCGCAAAATTATCTCAAAAGCATTTTTAATTAAACTCTTTTGAATAAATTTTAATCAGTCTCTTTTCAAACTTCTAATTTGTCACACGAAGAACCAAATCATGAAATTTATTTTCTTTTTTATTTCAATCATTCTGATATTGGCATCTGTCAATTGCGATGATCCGTGAGTTAAATTACTCTAGCAGCATTAAAATAAAAAATTAATTGAAATTTATTTTCATGTCCAGAGCTAATATCTGTAATTTAGAACCATTTACTGGAGTATGTAGAGCTTCTGATCCTAGATGGTATTATAATGCAGGAACAAAGTCATGCTTGCCATTCGTTTATGGGGGGTGAGTTATTAAAGAGATTATTTTGTCATGCTTGATGTGATCCTCGTCTAGTATTTTCAACTTATGTTGTTTAAGAAGAGTAGAGTCTGTGGAATCGAACTTTATGTAGGCAAATCTGCCAGTGCAAGATTAAAGCCTATGTGGCTGAGTGGGAAAGCATCAGAATCGATATCTGTAATCTAATTTGTGAGGTCGTAAGTTCGATTTCCACCAGGGTAGAAATCCCAGGAGTTGTATGCGATAAGCGGTTTCGGTATTGCATAATCTTAAGGTGTTCCGTGACCCAAAAAAGATTGTCAACCACTGACTTAGATTGTTGTCGCTATGCAAAAGATTCGTACAAGCTTCACGATATAAAAACTAGTAACTTTTAAATTCCGTTCATCAAAAATAGGATTTTAAAGCCCCCTAGTTTCCTTTCTGTCTCAAAATTTATTGTTGTTTAGACATTGACAGACCCTTTGCAGTATTGTAGAATATTTCCGAAAGACGCACAGCGTAAAATGCCCGAAAATGTGGAACTAGGAGCTGTATTTGTACCTGGACTTATAAACTGCACGTGAGGTTTTAAGTACAGGTGCAATTTGTATCTGAACTTATAACCCAGCATCGGACGGCATAAACACGGAATTACGCTGGATTTCACCCAATTCGTGTTCATGCCTTCGTAAGAGTTGGTAGAGGGCTCAGTTATGAATTTAAATTTTCCACATTTTGAACAAGGAGGAAGTCGATGGCTAAATGATTTTCAAATCTAACATTATTAAATTTCAAAAAACTCTCATCATTGTTCTCTATTTTTTGGCCTACAACACAATATTTAACCACAATTACCAACATAATTCACAAAATAATGAACAATCTGATTTTTTTTTAATTTTAATTATGCAGATGCGATGGAAATGAAAATAACTTTTTGACCAGAGCAGCTTGTGAAGCGAAATGCAGTGGAGTTTAGTGAATTTATTTCAATTTTATTGAGTGTGTCTATTTTGGTGGTTGTTCACAAAAATGAGGTTTTTAAAAGTTGAATTTTCGTGACCTTGGATACAAAAACTAATCAATGTAGGAATTTAAAGCATTTACGTCATATTTTTTTGACGTCATAACTTAATGACAACAGTTTAAAATCCAAATAAAGAATTCAATATCAAAATTTATATGATTTTTAACTAAATCATATAACATGCTTGTCCACCTCAAAACCCCCTGCCACCCTCTAACCTTTAACAACATCAATTAATTTTCAGCTAATTATTGTCAAGTATCATTAACAAAATCTGTTGTTTATACTCATAACAAATAGCAACATTATTACCTGAAGCCAAAAATAGCAGAAAAGCAATTAACACAGCTACAACTATAAATAAATGCTTACGAAAAATAATCAAATGTGATTCATATTTCATTTCCGAATGGGAAAATTACGCTTATCGACATTTTGTAATGCTTATAATTACGCATGTATATTGAATACATTGTAAGAATATGAAAATTGAATTATTGATTGAAATTGTCCATTGTTTTCAATGAAAATTTTGAGTAAATTGTTTTTCAATATTTTTTAACTTAATGACTGATTTTTGCTGTTCTGAGATAAACATTGTATGAACTCCTCATAGCTCCAGTGGTTCTCAAACTATGTGCTAGCGTTTAAGACTTAGCTAAATGTTTACAGACGTTCATACAATTCATTCTGAACCTACTATCGGCTTAGAGTAGATTTGACTATGTTCATTTAAGTAACCCAGGATTAAGTCTTGTTTCTAGGAGTGCTTTGCAGAGGGCGAAGTCGACTCGAAATTTGTATGAAGTCGAGTGAACTCAAGTCGACTTTTCCATACAAAATCCGAGTCGACTTCGCCCTCTGGTGCTTTGTGTATCCAACCTTAGTCAGAACCTAATAATGTTTGCATCCCGATGTGTGTTGTTTCGATCTTCGATTCTATTGTATAGCACCACCGAGTAGCCATAAAAATCAGCCCCTCATGTCGATTCAAAGTTACTCAAGTTCTTCGAATGGCACAAGTCGGTTAATCGAATAAAAATCCGGCCCCAAGCCTTTGATTTCAATTTAAATCCAGCATCATACCAGAGTCACACCTTGATGCTGGGTTTCTGCTCGATTAACCGACTTGTATTAGTAGATGGTAGCCAGCAATAGAGCTAGTTTAAGGGGACGACTAAGGGAGATCATGGATCTGTACGACCAGTGAAATAAGTAAGTAAAGCAACTGACTTGTGCCATTCGAATTTCAACTCCGTGAATTTGCAGTCTCAAACTCAGCTTTAAAGCATTTTTTGTCGTAAAATATTTCTCACTTTATTCTCTTTGTTGTCATTCTCAGAAAAGAATTGAGAATTTTTCTTAGAATTCGATTCCTCTCCAGCAATATCGGATATCAAAGAAATTTCCTTTATTTAATTCTTTTCAGAGAAAAACAACAAATTCCAAACAGTAAACATAAAATAGTCTTTAAAAAGTATTAAGTCTCCTCATTGTTGTCAAGAAACAACATGTCATTGATTTAAAAGGAATAAGAACAATTTTAAATGTCAAGGTAAATATTATCAATATTTCAGAAAGAGATTTGAAGGAATTACTGTAAAATGATATTATTGATACCAACAAATGATACAAATGTTTAGATTGTGTATTGAATATCAGTTGAAAATGTAATGATGTTTTGATTACTTTTTTTTTGTCGGAGAGACAACATCAAGCTGTGAAGGTAAAGAAGTCATGTTGTAAAAGCTTATACAAAAGGTTTAATTTAAGTTTTTTTTAAATATTGACTGTTGGAGATTTTTTAATATAGCTGCATTTTTTGGACCCCCCCCCCCATTCTTCCTTTAGCTGCTGAATAGGAGATTTCTTCAATTTGCTCTGAAGATCTCCCAAAATTTTCTGATTTATTTTAAAAAGGTTTTAGTTAACAAATTTCTGGATACACCATCAATCAGCATCATCAGTAATGCCACAAAAGATATAATGATAAGTTGCAATTCTGCCAAAATTCATAACAGCACTCGATAGCTCAGTGACAAGAGTATGCAACTAGAAGTCATTATAAGGACGCTGGTTCGATTCTCAGTTGAATCTAGTTTTGCTGATTTTCGGTCATGTAGCGATTTCAGATCTGAAAAAGCGTGACAGACCGAATTTTTAAGCAATTTCCAAGAAAAATAGGTTCAAAAAAGCTGGGCATTAAGGGTTTTTGGAGGGACTTTGTTCAAAAAAGTGGAACTCTCTCGCTCAACAGTGCGCAGTTGGACAGCTTGAACTTGGATCAAGTTTCCTTTTTTCGGCTTAACATTAAATATTAAGAACCTCAAACATCAAAATCTAGTTCATTTAATAAATAATCACGTATTTAATCACCGTACAGGTGATCCTCGATTATAATTAATTCTATTCGAACAGATTCGATTTGAATATCTCATAAACTTTTTTGAAACAAAGCCACTTTTTGAATCAAGAAGATTTGTATCAAAAAATATACATTTAGGTTCAAAAATCTTCAAAATCTCATTTCTAAAGATTTAAATCAATCAGCAGTTCTCCGAACGAATCAACAAAATTCTCATGAAATTCAGCAAGCTGCAAATTTCTTAAATCTCATTAACTTATTAAAACAAACTTAAGCATTTATAGCGAAATAATTCAGTCCATTCATTTCCTTACAGTAATTCCATACCAAGAATCAATTCAATCGTCTGTCAATGTACAAACTCATTTTCATGCTGATTGTTAGGAACGAAAGCTCTTTAGTCAACAATCGCAAAAGAGCGAACAATTTAATCAAAAAAATATTATTTTTCATTCTATTCACCTTTAAGATACAGCAAGATACAGCAAACAACAACAACAACAAAAAAGACTTTTTTTTTCACGCATGGGAATTTTTATGTTCATGAAGATGTACGAGGAAATCTATAGGTGAGTGAGGACTTCCAATGAGCGTCTCACATAACCGATGAGAGAAATTTTCTCATTTTCCGAGAGAATTCTCTCATTTTCATGCATTGGAAAAATCATATGTTTTTCATTTTCATACACAAACCATTCATTTTCCTTATACAATTCATCCATGACGTCATCAACTTCCAAAACGGTTCATTTTCGCTCACGAATCCAATTGCAATTTTTTTTTTCACACAACTCGTGGATCATTGCGATATTTTATTCAGCTTTCCATCCACACACATTCGGACTCTCTATGTCGCTCAGTTTCATTCAGTTTCGCATTTTGTTCAGTCGGCAAAAACCGTAAGAGCCTCAAAGTGCGGAAAAAATATTTCTCATCATAATTTTTTTTTTGGTTCTTTCTTAGTCAGAATAAGAAGATCAAAAAAAATGTTGTTGTAAGCTTGAAGGGAAAGGAGCGGAAAGGAAAGAAGAAAAAATAAATTTTTTGGGATGTGAAAAATTGAATAAAATATTTTTTGGTGCGGATGAGAATGAAAATGAGAGAATTCGTTAATTAAAGGTGCTCTCGGTGAATGATTACGAAGTGGATTATGTGAAAAATACGATAAGTGAATTTAATTTGGTGGAAAATTGTCGAATTTTAGTGAGAAAATGGATTTAAAAGCAGAATTAATTATAAACGGTT